GAGGGAGGAGAGGGGGCGAGGGGCTGCACTTGGGGAGAGGGGCTGCGAGACCAGCCTTGGGGACAGCCCACAAGGAGCCCAGTATCACGTCCCTGCCCTCTCTGGGAGAAACTGAGGCACGGAGGCTGTAGAGAAGTCATGGCAAAGCCTGGGCTCTGTTCACCATCTCAAAATGTCACCTTCCCCTCAGCTGGCCCCGCTGAGTGAGCTGCCAGCGTGGGGGAAACAGCCCCCGGGGCCTCCACCTCACCCCTCCCGCCACCCATCCTGGGGCTGCTCCAGATCATTTCAGCAGAGTCAGACCCAGCCCGGACGCGTCACCCGGCGCTTTCTCCTCTGGTCCAGAACAATTTGCCCTTTGTGTGGCAGAAATCAGCCAGTTGCCAGCCGGGCAGGGCAGGGGGGCTGCCATGGGGCAGCGGTGGGTTCGACCTGCTCTGTGCTGGGAGGGGCTGCCCAGTGTGGCCCCCGACTGCTCACTAATTAATGTAATTACTAGTGCCCATGGCGGGCATGGCTGGATTGCACCATCCTCAGCCTTTCCTGGGAAAGGGTGTGCGGGAGAATCATCACTCATTTCCCTCACTTGGGGCTCATCAAGGCACTGTTTTATTAATTAAACCTCCCGGCTGCCTGTTGCTCTGTCCCTGTTTCAGCCATGCAGCCAAGCCAAGCCAGCTCCGGCACCCTGGGAAGAGCCACTGCAGGGACATCCTGGCACGGGCCACCACGAGTCCTCTTTGGCTGCTGGGGACTCCCAGCCTGCGGCTGAGCACCTTCACCAGCTCACCTGCCCCTGCACCCTCCTCCCCACTGGCGTCTGCCCCCTGTGCTGCACGGGGCAGGGGTGTGGGGACACTGGGCCAAGGTCCAGCCCGAGCAGGGACTCACCGCGATGGCCTGCAGCCTCTCCTGCTGAAGGGTGCTGGCCTCCACGACCCTGCAGAGAGCAGAGAGCAGCGGTGAGGAGTGGCACCAGCAGCAGGTGTCAGGCACATTGTGCAACCAGCAAACCGGACACTGCAGCACACGGGCAAAGGCTGAACCCTTCCTTTCCATCGGCTGTTTCCTCCTTGCCACCCTGGAGCCAAGCATCCCTTGCCTGCACGGCTCCTCCAGACACCCCTCAGCCCCCCATCCTACCCGAATTGCCCCGGGACAGGCACCTTGCCCAGCGCCTGGGGGACTCAGCGCAGCCAGACCCACTCCTGCTGTGGCGCAGATGGAAACCATGACCACAGAGGGGCTGGAGCAGGACGGTTCTGGACGCCCCTGCCTTCCAACCTGGCTCACACTTTCCATTCCAAGCCCTTTTCTTGGCAGCTGACACCTTTCCCAGACAGTGACCTTTCTGGGCTGCGTATGAAGGCACACGCACGCCCACGTGCACAGACACTTGGACACGCACAGACACACACACGGCAACAGGCTCCGCTCCCGCCGGCGTCCGTGTTCCGGGCCCGGTACCTGCCTCTGCAGCCTGGGCTGCCATGGCCGTGCCAGGGATGCTGCTGCCTCGCTGGGTGCTGCAAGGAGGAGGTATCCCCGATCCCTGCAGTCACCTGCCCACACACCCACCCTCCCGTGTCCCCGTGGGGTGGTGCCCAGGCCAGCCTGACCGGCAGCGCAGCCCCCGGGCCCAGCGAGAGCCCCCGCGCCGCAGAGCACCGGGGGCAGGTCCAGCACCAGGACCCACGGCAGGGCTGGGGCAGCTGGTGGGGCTGGCTGGGACCAGGGTGCTCCAGCGCCACAGGAGCTGCTGGCTGCTCGCCAGACAGTGCTAACGAAGTGCTCAGCTGTGGCAGTAATTAGGGTGGGAGGCACAGAGGTATTGTCAGACGATGGATCATCCCCACTTGCTTCTTAGAGCAAGGGACAGAGAGCAGGACTCCACACTCCCGGGAAGGGCTTTTTCCGAAGAGGGTTTTACACACAGGGTGGGCTCGGGGTGCTGTGCCCCACACACGACACCTCCCGGGCCTGGGCTCTGACCGCATGTGCCAACATGTGTGCTCTTGCACATGTATGTGCCCTCACGTGGGTCCTTTACCGGAGGAGCTGGGCTTTGCCACAGCTCAAATGGGGTCTGTGGGGTGAGAGGAGCCCCCGCCTCCTCCTGCCCCCTCCTTGAAGCCAGCGATTTACTGGGAGCTGCTCAGAGCCGCCGTCCTCCCCTCACCCCGCACCCCGGGGATCCCAGCAGTGCGCAAAATCCAGACCAGGAAAACAAACAGGGAAGGTGTCGCTTTTGTGGTGGTTGTTTTCATGCTGTTTGCAGCGACGCTGTGACTGTTTCCCCAGCGCAGGCGCGTGGCACAGCTCACACACCCGCGTGTCCCACACCGGCCCCACAGCTCTGGGGCTGCCCTTCATCGTGGGCTCCCTCCTGCTCTGGTCCCCCAAGTCCAGCCCCTGGCACCCCACACTCGCAGGGTGTTGGACCAGGTCCTGTTTCTCTCCTGGATCTTACCCTGTTCAATGTATCCAAACTTTTACAGCATTTCTGAAACGTTCTGCTTTTCCTCCCTCCTCCATTCTCTTTATTTTCCATTATTTGCTACAGTCTCTGCATTCCCGGGTTGAACGCCAGGAATCTTCCTGGCCCAGGAAGAGATGCAAAATGGGCTGGATGCCCCTCACTGCACCCTCCCAGCCCCCCCAGCTCCTGGCCTGGGGACTCTGATCCGTCAAGGAGGGCTGAGTGGGAACCACCCCAGCAGCCACAGTCCTTGCCTGCTGGGACCAGGCAATGAGGTGGAGGCGGAGGGTCTCCCACTCCCCAACAGCCCCGTCCTGTCACGACCTGTCTCCAGGGGTCAGCACGGGCTGGTGTGAAGGGGCCTCGCTGCCGCCGGCCCTGGTGACTGATGGAGGCGGTTCCATGGCAATGGTTGTCTGGCAACAGCACCATGGTAATGGTGCCATGGCAACGGGCGAGCGGTGGGGGGGATGCACAGGGCGGGCGGAGGGATCGAGAGGCCCCCTGGGGTTGGGGGTGCCGCTCCCCGGGCCTGGCACTCTGGCAGCACCGGTGGGCCAAAACCGTGGCATCACTGGGGTCTCCCTGGGGGTTCTGATGCTCCAGATCCATCTGGAAGGGTGGAAAGGTGGGGCCACTGCACCCCTTACCCTCACCCTCTGAACCACCAGGCCAGGTAGGGAGCAGGGACATGGGAGATGATGCCCTGGGAGCTCCCAGCCCCAGGCCCCGGCCCTCAGGGTGGGCCCACACACGTGTGTGAGCACACACACCCCCGCACTCTCCCTTGGCTCCCCAGCTCTTTCCAGCCCTGCTGATGCTGCCATTTCCCACCATCACAAGGGAAGCCCGTGACCTTTTGTCTCCTCCCGCCTGACATGAAACAATAATGTTTATTTGCCTTCCTCTGTTTTTTCCCATTAGCTCATCCAAATGTGCGAAGAGCCATTTCAAGCTGCTTCTCCGCTCCCCTGACCTCCACTCCCTTCCCACCCACTCAGCTCCGAGCTGGGGGAAGGCAGGAGAGTGTCCTGCACGGGCACCACTGCCTGGACCCCCACAGCGACCCTGGGGAGGTGGGGGTGCAGGCCCCAGGGCCCGTGGCAATGGCAGCAATCGAGGGACCAGCACTGATTTATAGCACTGTTCCCATGCCAGGAGCTGGGCCCCTTGGCCAGGCCTGGAGTGACGTGGCCGTGGGGAGGCTGCAAAGCTCCGTCATGAAGCCATTTAGCAACAGGCCGTGATCGAACGGCCCTGATGGAAGGCACAGAGGGGAGGGGAGGGGGCTGCAGTCACCCGAGGGCCACCCTGCATTGACCACGAAGGCAGACACATCAGTGGCAGCGGCTCGGGTGAGGACGGCCAGAAATCTGTGCAGCTGAGGAGCCACATGCCCAGCACAGGGTTGGAACCCTGCTTAGATCCTGGCACCCAGGGCTGCTCCTGCCCTGCCCCACGGTGTGGCTGCCTCCCCCCACTGCTGCTGCTGCTGCATTGCCCCATCACCCACCCCATTCCTTCCCCACGATCCCACTGCCGGCACGGCCCCGGGCACGGCCACTGCCCGGGAGGGGATGGGGACGGGGGGAAGAGGGGGGAGGAGATGGCAGCCCCAGGCTCCCGAAAACGCAGATGCATTAGAGCAAGTGGAGCTGCCTGATTGATTCTCTGGGCTGAGACGTGGGCTGGGAGTGCCAGGAGAAAATGGATCCCATGAATATTTGATGAACGGAGGCTTGGGGAGGGAGTTTGATTGGAAAATTACAGATCTTTCAAACAGTTGTTCAAGTACCCTCCAAATACTTGGGTTTCCAGCTCCCTTCCAGTTAGAGGAGCAAGGCTCCACCAGCAAACTCCCACCACGATTTATGAATGAGAGTGGAGCTGGCCTCTCCCCACCCCGGGAGCACTGGCCAGCTGGGATGGGCAGCCCTGGTGCTGGCCAGGACACGGTGCCTGGCTCCTGCCACAGCCATCCCTGGGTTCCTGTTCACACGGGGCAGCGTGGCTTTCCCAGCAATGCCATGAACACAGGTACACACGAGGCTCCAAAGAGCTGGCAGGAACATGGATCCCGGCAGGGGCACCCCTGTGAGTCCCAGCACCTGGGGGGAGCTCAGTTCTTGGTGCCAAGCCCAGGGGCTGGGCTTAACCCATGTCCAGCTCTGCTCCACCAGGAAACACCTGTCTGGGGCAGGATCCATCTGGCTCCTCTCCCTCCTCCAGGCTCATCCTTGTCCCTGACAGTGGCTCCTGCCCGGGGCCAGAGGGCTCCTTGTCTCCAGATAAAGAGACTCAGGAATCTGGGCTGTGCCTGCAGCACCAATCCTGGCGCCAGCACTCAACCCGGCTCCAGCACACGGCACCTCCCGAGGTTTCCTCTGGCACCTCCAGTGCTGGAGCCCCAGCACAGCTCCCAGCACAGCTCTGGGCACGTGAACTACCACCCTGCCTGGGGAAAGGGGCTGTTTCTGGCCAGGAAGCACAAACACTAACACTGGCTTCCCAGGAAACCTGGGGAGCTCTGGTTCCTCCCAGCAGTGCAGGTTGAGCTGAGAGCTGAGGTCTCACAGCAGTGGCTGAATTCTGAACCCCATGATCTGCCAGCCCCGAGCAGGGCTGGGTGCTGTTTTGGGGCCATCTGTGGCAGAGCTTTATGGCCTCCTCTGGGAGAGCTGGGAAGGGTGACAGTGCCATCCCCTCAGCTGCACACAGGGACAGGATGGACCTGACCCCTTCTGGTTCCTCGCACCTGGACAGGAGGCAGCAGGACCCAGCCTGGGTTTCACTTCTCCCTGGATTCCAGTGGAGAGCAGGGCCCTGAGTCCCTTCCCAAAGGGCTCATGGGTTATTCCTCAGGCAGAAATCTCCCTCCTTCCCCTGGGTGCAACTGTCAGCTTCCGATCAGGGTTGTGAGGGCAGGACCAGGAGAGCCCTTGCTCCAAGGACACCCCCTGAGCCAAGGGGAGAGTGACAACCCAGTGAGACAAACCACCAGAGCAGCCAGATGTGAGATGCAGGATCTCCAGCTGCTCAAGAGCACTGATGGCAGCAGGAGCAGAGGAGGACAAACAGCTCCAGTGGGACCAGCACAGCCTTTACCAGAGTTGGAAGGTTTCAGCCAAACCTCCCTGGGCAACAGTGGCTTGTGGCAGCCAGGACCCTCTTCCAGCCTCTGCCACTGCCAAGGCGAAGCAGGAGCCAAGGCAAAGGCAGCAGTGCCTGCCCCAGCCCCCCTTGGCTGCTGCAGAGCCAGGCTGACAGCAGGGCATCACCTGGCCGTGTCCCCGCCTGCCCTGGGACTCTCCTAAACCTCCAGCCCCACGACCAGGCTCTGGAGTTGAGCGGCTGCAGGGGCTGCACCATTTTGCTTTGGGGCTGTGCCCCCTACCCCAGGTCACTTGAGGAGTTTCACTCCAAAGAAAGACATTGACAAGTCCAGCATATGGAGCTGGGGGGGGACAGGCCTCACACTCCTCCACAGATTCCTCAGCCCTTGCTGGGAGGGTCGGTCCAGAGCAGGGTGAAGGGCACCATGTGGAGCCCAGGGACAGGAGCCATCATCCTGCCTGGTGCCATCCCCCCTTCAACCCCAGCCTTTGATACCTCCCCTCCCAGAGAGCCTGTGCCTGGTCTGGCAGCTCCTCACCCTCTCCCCAGGGCACGTCGCACCCCTCGGCTCTGCCCTTCCCCTCATTGCTGCCTTTTGGCAAATCACACACACGTTTTCCTGCCTAAAAAGGCTCTTTCCTGCAGGGACTGAGGCACTGTGGGGCTGCCCAAAGCTGCGACCCTGTGTTGGCCAGCTCTCTGTCCCCTCCAGCAGCATGGGGAGCTTCTCTGTCTCCCCAGTCCCACAGCCACTGCACCCCAGTCTCCAAAACATTCTCAGACCTCCACTGGTTCCTCCCACTCAGTTCCAACCCCAAGCCAACCGGAGCCCACCCCGAGCCCAGGACACCCCTCACCCTGCCCTTCACCAGTGCCCCATGGCCTCTCAGGGCTCCCTG